ATTCAATCCCTAACCTAGAATTTTGTGGAAACTGTGTGTTAGGAAAACAACATAGACTGAGTTTCTCAACGGGAACTCACCTAGCCACAAACTGCCTTGAATACCTACACTCAGACCTTTAGGGGCCTGAAAAAGTTAAATCCCATGGTGGGAACAGTTATTTTCTATCAATAGTAGATGACTACAGTAGAAAAGTCTGGACCTTCCTCCTGAAAACCAAAGATCGAGCCTTGGCCAAGTTTAAAGAATGGAAAGTGTCAGTTGAAAACCAGCTAGGTAAGAAAGTTAAAACCCTAAGAAGTGACAATGGGTTAGAGTTTTGTAATACTGAGTTTGATAATTTCTGTAGAGAGCATGACATTTTAAGGCATAGGACTGTTGCTAGGACTCCTCAACAGAATGGGGTGGCAAAAGGAATGAATAGAACCTTACTAGAAAAGGTTAGGTGCCTGCTATTCATCTCAGAGCCACCAAGCACTTTTTGGGGGGAAACTTTAGCCACTGCAACCTACCTAGTAAATAGAAGCCCATCCATTGCCATTAATGGGAAGTATCCTGAAGAAATTTGGTTTGAGAGGAAACTAGACTTAAGGCACCTAAGAATCTTTGGCTGTACAGCTTATGCACACACTCTTTTGGGGGGGGAGGGGGGGGGGCGGGGGAGGAAGCTTGAGCCTAGATCCACCAAATGCATATTCCTTGGATATCAAGAAGGCATAAAAGGGTATAGATTGTGGGACAGGGAATCTCCAAGGGTGAAAATCATAGTAAGCCGAGCTGTGGTGTTTAATGAGAATGAATTCCATTGTAAAGCCACTGCCATTGACCAAGTAACACAAAGAAACATTGAGACCTCATCCATTCCTACTGAAAGTACACAAATTGAGGTGCAGCCTATACCACATCAACCTATCCAAACAACCCAAACCTAGTCCCTCAAACTGAAGCAGAAACAGAACAATCAGAACCTGAACAACTAGAAAATGAAGTTGTAGAAGAAACCTTAGAACCCCAAACAGTGGATTTACAACAGTACCAACTAGCAAGAGACAGAACCAGGAGAGAGGTAAGGCCACTTACATGATATTCTTATGCAGATTTAATCTTTACTGCTTTTCTTGTAGGTGCAGAAGTCCAAAGGACAGAACCTAAAACATATGAAGAGGCCATGAAGTCCAAAGACAAAGACAAAGACAAGTGGAAAGCAGCAATGAGGAAAGAGATGCACTCGGTAGAGGTAAACAATACTTCGTCTTTGGTACCTAAACCCAAAGACCAGAAGCTGATACAATGTAAATGGCTTTATAAGATAAAAGATGGTTTTACAGCCTCTGACCCCCCTAGGTATAAAGTCAGGCTGGTAGCTAAAGGCTATACCCAAAGAGAAGGAATAGACTTTAATGAAGTCTTTTCCCTAGTTGTGAAATACAAAACTATCAGACTTATGTTCTCCATTACAGCCCACCAAAATTTAGAATTAGAACAGCTTGATGTCACCACTGCATTCCTATATGACAGCCTAGATGAGCAGATTTATATGTCTCAATCTATAGGTTTTGTTGATTATAGGGTGCCAAATCATGTATGCCTATTGCATAAGTCTTTGTATGGCCTCAAACAGACCCCTAAGCAATGGTACAAAAGATTTGATACTTTCATAGTGGGCCTGGGTTATAAAAGAAGTAGATACGATAGCTGCTTCCATTTTGACCTAGATAAGGATCTGCCTTTATATCTCTTGTTGTATGTTGATGATATGTTACTAATCAATAAATCTAAGTCCAAAATAGAAGGATTAAAGAATAAACTTAGTTAAGAAATTGATATAAAGGACCTAGGAAGTGCAAAAGAAAATTCTAGGCATGGTTATATCTAGGGATAGGGGGAGTAATGAGTTAAAACTTGATTAGAAAGCATCCTTGAAAAAACTAGTAAACAGAGTTGGAATGGCTAACTCAAAACCTATCTCTATGCCCTTAGGAAACCATTTTGTGTTAAGTAAAAACCAATGTCCTAAAACTGAAGCTAATATGATAAAAATGGATATTGTCCCTTATGCTAGTGTGATTGGCTCTATTATGTATGCAATGGTAAGTACTAGACTTGACCAATCATTTGCTATATCATTGCTTAGTCGATTTATGTCCAACCCTGTGAGTGATCATTGGACTGCCCTGAAATGGGTTGTAAGATATATTAATAATTCCTTAAGTGTTGGTTTAAAATACTATAAAAGAACTACTATGCTTGATCTAGTAGGGTTTGTAGATTCTGATTTTGCAGGTGACAAGGACACCAGAAAATCCACAACAGCCTACTATTTTACACTTGGTTGAAACTGTATAAGCTAGAAATCTTAGTTGCAACACATTGTAGCATTGTCATCAACTGAGGCCGAATACATAGCCACAGTTGATGTGTTTAAGGAGGCTATATGGCTGCAGGGATTGTTGTCAGAAGCAAATTTATCTAATGGAAAAGTCACAATCTACTCTGATAGCCAGAATGCGATTCATCTCAGTAAAAACCCAGTCTATCACAAAAGAACCAAGCATGTAGATGTCCGATTTCATTTTGTGAGAGACCTGGTTGCACAAGGAGTAGTTGAACTGAAGAAGGTAGCCACTGAAGAAAATCCAGCAGATATGGGAATAAAAATCATTACACCAGCAAAGTTCAAGCACTGCTTGAAGTTACTGTCAGTGGAGTAATCAGGAGTGACCTGGAGCTATGAAAGATATGGTTTAGAGTGAGCTGCACTGCTTAGGTTTCAAGTCTTCAAGGTGGAGATTGTTGAAGTGAAGACCAAAACGGTGTAGTTTTTTTTTAGCCTAAATGAAAAGCTACACTTTGATATTAGTCTCTTAATGGTTCCTAATCGTTGGATCAAATTTGATCTGATGGCTGTGAAGTTGCATTAAGTCAACACTATAAAAGGGGCACTGCACAGTAAAGTAAGGCTGTGTTTTTGTCTCTGATTGAATAACCTTTACATTTGCGTTTTTCTCTCTGTTATAGGTCTAAGATTAATCTTTGTAACTAGTGTGATTGAGTGATTTGTTAGTCATTCTGGAGGGCCTTTTTGCTCTTGTTCTTGGGGATTCTAGGTGAGTATCTCTAGGATTAGTTACTTTTAAGATTGATTGAAATCAGTGAGAGTGTGATTCGATTTGTACTTGTTCTTGGTTGAATCTTAATAATAAGTAGTGCAACGAGCTCTCCCATTTTCGGAGCTCAACGTGGATGCAGCTTATCCAATTTTGATAAGTGAACTACGGTAAAATCTGTGTGTTGTGGTTGATTCTTGTTTTTCTTTGTGGCGTGTGTGGTATATTTTATCTGTCGCTTTTGTAGTTTAGTTATAACATAAAGAAAATCTGAATCAAGCTTATAATAACATGGTTTTGAACCATTTCGATGGCCGGGTATATATCCTTTGCTTTAACTTAAACTAAACTTTAAAGCACCATTAAAAAACATAAATTGTTATTGTGATTTGTACATCTTTATTAACTTTTTTCTTGCTTTTTCCTAGCAAAACATAATAATTGGAGTTATCTTCGTACTTCAACTTGTTGAGATCGATTTTGGCTCTGGCGACATCTCTCAGCTCATCCAACAGTCTGCCTCACTTTGCTTCATAATTTTTCAGGTACAACTTTCATTTTCTTTAATTTGTGCTTTAGTATGATACTAATATATATTATATTTATAATATTGGTTACTTAATTCTGTATTATTTTCATTATCATTTCATATTGTAGATTAATATATGATATGAGACGCCCACTCTACTTAATTTTTTCTATTTGGTCTCTTACATTTTTATTTACCACTTAATTTTTATTTTTTAACAATTTTCTTTCATTAATTAATATAAACCTGTTGAGTATTCATTATTTATTTCATGACAACATTAACAAAATCTAGGGGTTTTTTTTATTATGAAAGTAATTATTAAAATAATTAATTTAAAAAAGTATAATCTTACATTATTTTTACAATGTTAAAGCATGTATTAATAGATTTATTATGTTCGTCAAACAAATTATGTAACATCCTAAACGAAATGTGAATGTTATGAGACATGATTCAATTTTAAGTGATGTAATTACATCATATTTTGATTTAGTTTGTGTTGCCTGTCATATTTTTTTTAATTTCATAACTTGTAAAGTAAATATTTATATTTTAAAATAGGGGCAGTTAAGGAGCTATTTAAATTTAAAGAATAATACTACACAAATAATCATTTCTATCAAACTTTCTCTCTCAACTCTGATGTAACAACTCGTAATTGGTCAATTCGTAATTAATTAGTGGGACTCATGTGAGACCCATTGTGAACTGACCAATTACGAGCTACCACCTCAGAGTTGTAAGAGAAAGTTTGTGAGAGAGGGTTATTGGTGTAGTATTATTCAAATTTAAGAAGTATATATGTATTTTTATATATTTCAATATCTTTTTTCTAAGTACATCCTCTTGAAAATTGTTTAATTATTTGTTTGGTCTGTGATCCGAAAAAATTAAAAAAAAAAATATGAATCAAATTTTTTAGTTATAATTTAATATTTTTATTATTTGAAAATTTATTGGGTACGATATTGTTTTCAGATTAAAAACAATTAATTTTTTTAAAAATGACTGAAAAACGGTTTTCTAATTTTAGGCTAGTTTTCAAGATCTTATTCAAAAACAGTTTTCGAAAACATTTTAATTCCATTCAATCAATGATGTTTTCATCACTTTTTTTTTTTTTTTTTTTTTTTTGTCTCTTATTTTCACTTCACATGTTTTTTATAATAGTAAAACAAAAATAAATAAAATGGCAAATTAATTGTATTGACAACATATTGTAGAGCCAAAATTTTTGTTAAAAGTCGATAAAGAATCATAAAATGGCAAAGTTTGTGTATGAAACAAAACAAAGAATAATAGATTTTTTTATTTTTATTTTTTTATTTTTTTTTTTCTCCAGATTGATTTTCAAACAGAAGATGGCAAGCTTCAAGAATTTTCCTTGGAATGGATTGGAAGTTCGAATAATGATTTTACTGAGCCTCCTTTTACAGATCATCCTTATCATACTTGGTTACCAACGAAAAAATACAAGAAGAATTCGGATAAATTTGCTCGTCTGGTTAGCCTACTTGTTGGTAGACTTGGTGGCAACTGTTACTTTGGGCACCATCGCACGCAGCCTTGGAGATTCTGAAGAAGATGATGATCGTTTAACGTCGAACAACATTCTCACATTTTGGGCGCCATTCCTTCTCTTGCATCTCGGTGGTCCAGATACTATAACAGCTTACTCGTTAGAAGACAATGAGCTGTGGTTAAGGCATTTTCTTGGGCTCCTTGTCCAAATTGGAGTGGCATTTTATATCTTCATCAGATCTTGGGAAAACACCACTACTGCCTTCACATTTATTACCATTCCCATGCTTATCACTGGCATTATCAAGTATGGGGAGAGGACTTTGGTGCTCCGATATTCGAGCGCCAAGCATCTTAAGGACTCCTTGCGTTCAACTCCTGATGCTGGTCCAAACTATGCTGAAATAATCGGAAATGCTTCAACAAATGAAGAACTGTTGCGAGCAGACTCATCCAGAGTAATAGATGTACCACATGATGAACGCATTAAACCGGGGGACAGTTGTTTCATTGAAGCTTATTTCTTGTTCGAAAGATTTACGTATCTCTTTGCCGACTTGATTCTCGGCTATCATGAACGGAAAGACAGCTTCTCAATTATCAGCAACAAGTCGGCTAAAGAAGCCTTCGAACTGGTAGCTATTGAGCTTGTATTCATGTATGATTTGCTGTACACCAAGTTGAGCATAATTTATTCTCGACTCGGCATCCTTCGTCGTTGCATCTGCTTGTTTTCTTATGTTCCCGTGATAGTTGTCTTCTTAATCATCATTGATAAGAGCGCCTATCCGCGAATCGATATCCTCATCACTTATGTGCTTATACTGGGGGCTATTTTCTTGGAGGTTTATGCGTTGATTGGACTTCTTTTTTCTGACTGGTAGACCGTTTGGTTAACCAAGCTTAAAAACAGCCCCTGCAATTTTGTAGCTGATGATAATAACAGATGTTGTGGGTTTCTTTTTGTTCTGTCTGAATATCTCAGAAGCAAGAGGTGGTCAGGATCTATAGGTCAATACAACCTGTTAAGTTTTTGCTTGAAAGACATATCATTGGCGACCACATATTTCATAAGAGCTCTAAACTTTTTTGGCATCAAAGAAGTAGTAGAGAAATACCAATATTTGACTTGGAAAGAAGTGAATGATGAGTTAAAGGAAGTGATATTCAAGCAGATCCTAGAGAAGGGCAAACAAATTGAAGGGGATCTTTTTAGTATCAAGTTATGCAAAGAATTGTTAGCTGAAAGAGGTGATAATGTGCTGAAGAAATGGTTCTGCTTTGATGAATTTTGTTGGAGTACAATTGAGGTAGAATTCGATCACAGCTTTCTTCTTTGGCACATTGCTACCGATCTTTGTTATCTTGCTGATTTTGGTGACAATGAAGATGATAATGATGAGACACTTCCTATAGAGTGTAAAATTAGCAGATGGTTATCTAATTATATGTTGTATCTTTTAGTCATTTGTCCGACTATGTTGCCGAAAGGGATCGGTGAGATACGGTATAGAGATACTTGTGCTGAGGCCAAAAGATTTTTCATTGAAAAAAAGTCTGGTAAATCCTCCTCAAGTAAATTTACAACTTATATGGAGGAGTTACTTGAGGTTAACACCGGCGAGTCACTAGAGCGAATAAAAGGAGATAGAAGTCAGTCCGTGCTATTTTTTGGATGTAGGCTCGCCAAGCAATTGCAAATGCACTGGTGGAGTAAAAAACAAAAATGGGAGATGATAAGTGAAGTTTGGGTGGAAATGTTGGGATATGTTGCAAATCATTGTGGGTGGAAAGAGCATGGGCAACATCTTATGAAAGGTGGAGAGTTGCTCACTCATGTTTGCCTTCTAATGGCTCATCTTGGCTTAAGTGAACAATACCAAATTCAAAAGCAATTGATTCGCCGCTCTATGCAGCGAAAATTTGATAGGCGTATAGACACTTTTCGGAAGTCCCGTTTCCATCATAGGTTTAGATGTTTTTAAGGTCTCAAACTGGAGAAAACTGCTTAATTTATTTTTAGGAAAATAATTATATTGTACATAATTAAAATCTTTAATAAATAAAAATGTCTTTCATTTCAAGTTGTGAAGTTTCATAGCTATTGTTTTGAAGCAGACTGTTTTGGTCTAGGAATATTTTCCTAGTTATTTTTGACAAGTTTTTTAAACCAAGTTAAAAAGGTGCTTAAATAATTGTGCATTTCAAATTATTCATTCACCTGATTATTTTTCTCAAAGTAAGATTAAAATAGAGTTTTTTAGCTTAAAGAAAAAGAAGAATGTAAATATATTTTCCGTCGGGGTTTTATCTCATGTTGTGGATTCAATATATCACATGTGGAATTGAGTTTTCTTAATTACTTATGGATTCAAGCATAGACGTAACCAGAAATGAAATGTAAAGGGATCAAAGTTGAAAGAACGATACAATTTTAAATTAAAATAAATACAAATTTAAGAAAAAAGGAACTTGTCGGCTCGAATATTTATCACTTGTAAATGTAAATCTAACAAAACGTGAATATTTATCTTGTTTATACTTAACCTCTTATCTTGCTTTGTTAATCCACTGCATCACGTTGATAATGAATTTGAACAATTAAGGATATTGATTTTCTAATCGTGAAATGGTTATGAGAAGTCTGTTTAAATATGAAATGATCACTTGTCAAGGGAAGTGCAAGTGCTCGACTATATATTTTTATATAAATTATGACCAATTTTTGAACTTTTGGAGCTAAGCAGTTCATATGGTTAAGATTCAATATAACTCATGTATTTAATGCACCTTAAAAATGATATAACTTAGATACAATCTTAACAATTCTAATAGCTCAAAATTGTGTTAAAAACTTATTTTAAAAATGTGGGGATGCTAAAATCACAACTAAGTACAAACATCTTATAGAAAAATAAACCGATATGACAAGATATAAAAAAGAGATTAGAATTAAAGAAAAAGGTTAAAAAGAAAAGAGACTATAAGATCTTTATTGCCACTTTTCTCCCTTAACATACTTGACTAATGTCTCACTTACTCCAAGTATAAAGAAAAAGAAGCACTTAAAGATAAAAGTTATATATGTAATGTCTATATATATTAAAAAGAAGAGAAATAATAATTAAAGATGATCTAACTATTCACACTTTAATGTTACATTAAATTCTTTTCTACAATTCTACAACTCATTTTTATCCTATCAACAATCCTCCAAATTACCTCTTGACTTCACACCTCATACCCATTCTAAACCCCAATGGGATCATCCCGTTCAACCCGATTTAATTTTGTGGTGGGTCAGAACCCACCCAATTAGGTTTGTTGCCATCCCTACTTGTAAGTAGAGAATATGGTAGTCTCTTTTAAAATTAAAAAAATTAATCAAAATGGATGATATAATTAATACTATTACAACAATGGTAAATCATTTGATATGAAAAAAAGTTAGAATCGATTTATTTTTTATAATTTAGTATCAATCTTGTTCACATCAGAAAATGTCCATTCCCACATCCATGCTTGGTATACAGGGCCGGCTTAAGGGGTAGGCAGGTGAGGCACCTACCTAGGGCCCCAAAAAAATGGGGGCCAAATTTTTTATAAATCTTTTTTTTTTTTTTTTAAATATCTTACAAAAATGAAAATGGTTTATAATTTCTTATCTAAGCTAAAGGGCCCCCAAAAAAAAGCCAAAAAAGCCCAAATTTATTATAAACTTTTTATATATATTCCCACCCAAAGTTTAACAAAATAGCAAGTTTGTACCTCTAGTTTTATATATTCTAATTTATACCCCTAAATTAACACATTGAATCCCTTTAACAATGGAAGACTAAAATAGTCATTTATATATCTCAAATTACTCACCCCCAATTCAATCCCAAAATTTGACATTCACATAAATCATCTCTTGCCCTCTTCTGCCGCCAGTGGTTTGGAGTTGATTTCGGTCAATTTTGGTTCCGGTCGATTTTCTCACCAAAATCGACTGAAATCATCATTTTATCATTTCCCAACCTTGATAGCCCTCGATTTGACTAATTTTTTATGAATCTTGCAACCCAACTCCACCACACGGTAGCCATTTCCAGCCTTTTTGGCATGTACCCGACATTGTTGGCCTTCCTTGACACCACCATCTTCCTCCCCTCAGCCCTCTCACCAAAACCCCTATATACCTTATCTGTTTACTCTACCAATCACCGGCCATCGATACCTTTTAGGCCGTGACTTCTCAAACCTTTTCTTATCAATCTTGGCATTGGAAATCACCCATTCACCACCCATCACTTCTCCAAAACCCCCCACCAACCTAACCTTGTTAGCCTGCCGATTGTTGTTCACATCTCCTAGTGATTTTTCATCTCAAAAGGCAAAAAAAAATAATAATAATAATAATTTTTTTAATATATGCTTATATTATTAGAGGGCCTCAAAGTAACTCCTGCCTAGGGTCACAAATATTCTAGAGACGGCCCTGTTGGTATATATACCGATTTTTGTTTTTCTCAGATAAAGAGCTAGCCATGAATCTTGTTTTAGCAATTGTTATGAAAGTTCCGAACGGATTTGAAGTTAGAGGCCTGGTTTTTGTTGACTTAATTCTCGGTTATCATGAACAAACGAAGAGCTACAACATTATTCAAAATAAGTCAGCAGCCAAGCCTTCAAATTGGTAGCAATTGAGCTTGGATTCATGTATTACTTACTCTACACCAAGGCAACCATAGTTTGCATCAAATACAGTATCTTTCATCGTTGCACCTGCTGCGTCTCCTAGATTTATGTATTAATTGTCTTCTTAATCATCATTAATAAGCATGCCTATTGTCACAATCCTAAAGAATCGTGCAGTCTTAGAGCACAAACAGAGTTTTACAAGCAGATTCATTCAAATCTAATAGGCTAGATGGCTAGGATTAATCATAATAGAATAAAAATCATAATCCTATTATGTTGCCTATTTGAGTGAGGAATCTATAGCATCTTGGAAGCTTCACGACATATTCTCTAGATACTCTTTGGATCTAAGCCTCCCACCATAGATTGGGTCCAATGGACCTTTGAGTTCAAGCTGGATGTCACACTGTTCACCAATCGGTATCTTCATAACCTGTGTACTCCTATTCGGGGTTGTTTTCCTTGAGATTTATGCATTCATCACACTAATTATTTTTTCTGACTGGACAAAACTTTGGTGGAAGAGGTGGTCCAGATCTATGGAACTGATAATTATCAGAAAAACCTGATAATTAAGTTCTTGCCTTGAAAGTGTATCAGTGGAGAGCTCAGAACGCATTTGGCATCAAAAAAATCCCATGCTTGACTTGGAAAGATGTGAATGATGATTTGCGGGAGTTCATTTCAAGCAGATATTAAAGAAGGCAAGAAAATCAAAATTGGATTATGAAATTGGTGCTTAGAGAAAAGATTTGTAATCGTGATCATGAATTCCGTTGGAGCAGAACTGATGTAGAGTTGGACCATAGTCCAACTGATAACTGTTACTATGATGATTTGAATAAGGAAGATGCTAATAACCTTCATCGCAAAAATGCAAGATTGTTAGCAAATGTTTATCAGATTTTATGTTGTATGTATTTGTCATGTGTCCTAACATGTCGCCCAAAAGACTTGGTCAGATGAAGTAAAGAGATATATATACTGAGGCCGTACAATTTTTCAAACTAAGTACTATACCCAGTCATAAAAGTGATAAATTCCCTGTAATAAGAAGAGCTTGTAGAGAGATTCTTCGAGTCAACTCCGATTCTTTAGTAGAACAAAAGAAAGGAGATAAATGTAAGTTCTATTTGGAAGTGGACTTGCCAAGCAATTGCAAGCACTAAAATTCCCAGATGAGAGGGATAATATTGAACAAAAATGGGAGATGATAAGTGAATTTTGGGTGGAAATGTTGGCATATGCTAGAAGCAGTTGTGAATGAAAAAACCACGGATTGTCAAACACAAGAAACTTCCAATCGAGCGCGCAATGATGAACAGGCATATGATCCAAAAGAAAGCAGAAGGAAAAGAGTCGAGACAGTCTTAGCTACAATATCTGCCCTTACCTGAGTATCTTCCTTATCGTCTGAAAACAGGATAGTTTATTATTGAATCATCTCGCTTCTTCACCCTAAAAGTTCACTCCTTTTAGTCTTGCTCCACGATAAGAAAGTGGAACTATGAGATAAATAAGCGGTAGGCATTCTTGAGGTCTTTGGTCCACTTCAAGTAAAGGAAAGGTAGACTAGACCGTTCCCGAAAGGCAGAGAGTTGCTCACTCACATATCCTTTCTTATGACACATCTTGGTCTAAGTGAAAATTATTGTCACATCCCGCAACTTTTATTTCTAAAGTTAATGAATGAAATGTAAGACATAAAAAATATTTTTTAATGAAATAACCATATGTTAGTGAATGATATTGCTCATTTAAGCCCAAATGTGCCATAAGAAGACATATATTAGTGAGCAACTCTCCACCTTTAATAAGTTGTTTCCCATGCTCTTTCCATCCATAATTATTTGTAACATATGTCAAAATTTCTGTCCATGCATCACTTACCATCTTCCATACTCATTCATGGCTCCAACCATATCAACTGGATTTCAGTTCTTGCAATTGCTTCATTATTCCACTTCCATGATAGAGCATAGATACACTTTTACTTGCCTCATTTTTTGCGCTTGCACTAGGAATGTGGCTCAAATCAAACATTATACCGCAGGCTTCATTTTTGAAATATTAAACATATTTAGCCCCTTCATTTTTGTTTCAGGAAAAACCAAAACATCCACACAAGTTTCCCTATACCTTGTCTCACCAATATCCCTTTAGGCAACATGGTTGGACATGACTAAAAGATACAACATATAGTTTGACAACCATTTGCTAATTTTACAATCTATAGGTATTTCATTATCATTTGCATAGTCACCATAATCAGCATGATAACATATATCAGTGGCAATGTGCC